AAAAAACTCAGAACATCCTGGAATCCTCTGTTCTCCTGGTATAATGGCACCATGTCTTTTAATAGTTGACTTATTCAAGGAAAATACAGACATGGTGAAAGTACATTTTTCATTACTTGTTCTGGATGTTGCATAAATGTCTCACTCATTTAGAAAATGCAGTGTTCATTTTTATAAGATTCATAACAATGTTTTATATGTTCCAACTTAAGGGATACATTATGCTTCTATTTAATCCAGGAATTCATTTCATGTAAACTGTCAGCCTTTTAGTTTTATCACCAAATGTGTATGTCAACCTAAAGAAATGAAGACTAATAGCCTAGTAAATGTTCTATGGATTTGAGGTTGGATTTGACATTGTACAAAATCCTAAACAAACAAGAAAAAAAGCCTAAATATTGTGTGAAGGAACAAATGAGGTCATCAGCATAGTCCACAGGAGGAGTGGAGCCTTGGGAAAGACTCAGTCAACCACAAAGGGCAAAGAGGTTTGCGGACAAGGACATGGGGATGTGGCTCTGGAATAATCAGAATGAGAGCTGCCATTTTGGAGTGCCTACCATGTACCAGGCATTTTGCTAGGTGCTTGACATTAGAGATAAATTGTTCCCCAAATGGGTGCAGGAACACAGTCTTATAAAGTAGCAGCAATACTCACTCTTTAAAAGAAAGGGATCATAGATTAGTTTTTGTCTTGAAGGGAAATATTGATTTTATATTGCTATAGAACCAAAGACAGCTATGTCTATGTTAACCAACTTTCCAGGCTGATTTTATGTTTTATAAGTTTTCTGCACTTAAAATGTTTTATTTTCCTTCTGTGATGGTCAAGACATTTTGTTAGGATTTTTAGAAAATTCCATTTAATGTTATGCTATCTTGTAATAAAGGGCAAGCATGAAACCATCATTTCCCCATTAATTTGATATTCCTTTATTTAATAAATACTTGTTGCATTACTACTCTGTGAGGCACTGTTCTAGGTGTTGTAAACATAGTACAGTCAGCTAAACACATAGTCCCTACCTTCAAGGAATTTACAGTCTAGGAGAGAGCCAGACACTAAGCAAATGATTATACAAATAAACAGCACAGCAGGTATGAATCTTCATTTAGAAACTCAGTTATCCAAGAAATATATTTCCAATAATTATTTTCAATTTCTGACTCCAAGTTTCCAAACCACCCAGCTGGCAGAAACAAACAACAACATCCAAACAAGTTAATGTCAGTCCAACTTGGGTTTGGTTTCCTTCCCCTTCCTTGGACATAATTACAGCATCTTACTCTGTGTGTGCCAAGGCCTATCTATCATCAAAGAATTGGTGCCTCCTCAGTTGTCTGGCTTCTTCAGTTCTAGTGGTTCTTTGCTGCTGCTGTTGCATATCACTCATGGTATGAAGACTGGCTTTCAGAGTTCCTGTGGTCCCTCACAGGTCTTACTATTTCCTAGACAATGCTTTTTAGAAGCAGGACATGGATCTCCTCTGTTCCAAAGATCCACAGGCCTCCCTCTTTTTCTCATTCCCCCACCCTTTTCATCCCTGAGGAAACTTCACATTTCTCTTTATGTTTGAGATACTGGTCTGTGCCTCAAATACCTTTTCTAAGTCCTATGCTTTTATCGAACAAAAATGGATGTATTTGATTTATTGTGATTTTACATGTCTCCTTCAACTTATAAACATAGAGCTACTAATTGGAGAAGGGAAAGGCAATGAAGAAAAATAAGGATTAAAAAATATATCTCTTATCCCTCAAGAATAATTTCTGAAATAATGCTATAAGGGAAATCCATGGTGACTTGAGAACAGTTAATGAAAGAACCAAATTTAATTTGATTGGGTGGTAAGTCCTATGAGAGGGAGCTCAGAGAGGGGTCTTCTGAGGAGATGAGATAGGAACTGGGATCTGAAAGCTGTGTATAAAGAGCTAATATTTTGAAGGAGAGTGAGGAGTGTGTTCTCAACAGAAGGAATATACATGGCAAGGCCTCATGGCAGGAGAACACTGAAGAAAAAAAACAAATCTATGAGCATTATCATTTATGGATAAAATCTTAATTGTAGAATATACACACTTGTATTTTAGTGTATGAGACCTCAACAAACTACATAAGGCATCAACCATTTATTAGGCCATAATGGAAAGCGTGTAAGAACTAGTCAAAGCTTTGGACTTGAGTTCAAGCCCTACCAGTTATAAGCTGTATGGTCTATGGCGTATTGTATCACCTCTTCAAGCCTTAATTATATCATCTGGAAAAGAGAGATTATGATAATATTGCAACTACATGCCCCATCAGTCTCACAGGACTGCTGTGATGATATACTGGGAACATGGATGTGAAAGTGTTTTGCGAAATGTAAAGAATTCTCCTGCAAGATCTGCACGTGTATCTCAGAACTTTTAAGTAAAATAAAATAAAAAAAAGAAAAAAAATGGGATACCTGTTAAGAAAGGTTAATAGTATATTAAGAGGGAAAAAGAAATCTGTCTTCAAAATAGTAATGTACAATGTGATCCCACTGGGTAAAAACATACAGAGAAAAAAAAACTGGAAGGATATATCAAAATGTTAATTATGAATATCTCTGGTAGAATTAATTAAATACCTTTAATATAACAAAAGAATTTTCCTGTGCATAAATATTAGTATGTTAATAACTAGATCTATTCACAGTAAAATTCAATATTTTCTTTTAGAGAGACTCCTACTGCGACAAAATGACAAATACTAAGTAATCTACTTTCTCATTTATATTCACGTGTAACGACGTAGAGGTGAACCAAGTGAACACACCAAATATGATACATAATTATATAGCAGTGAATACAATTTTCCTTTTCTACTTCAACTGGAAGAGCAGCTAATAAGTTACTATCAGACAACAATAATATAAGTTCTATATGAGAGATGCCTAGTAGAAAGTGACCATATGGAATAATGAATACCTACCCAAATCAGAAGCCTAAAGTTAGCACAGTCACCACTCTCTCATTAGATCCCTAACCAGCACACTAGGGTGTGTGTGTGTGTGTGTGTGTGTGTGTGTGTGTGTTTAAGGACAACATAAGATGGCTAATGGCAGGGCAGATTTCTTACTCAATTATTAAAAATATATGGTAAACAGAGTCTACTAGTAAAGATTCAAAGCCAGTATATAAAGCAAGCAAAATTTCTTCTGAAGTTCCCGGGAGAAAAGATCTTAGACCAAAACTTTGATGTTCATCTGTAAGTATGAGAAAATCACTTAAGGCGGCAGAAGCAGGAGTGAGAAGGTTCAGGGGTGAGTAGGTTCAGTGCTTTAGGATCAGTTGCCCAGGATACAAAAAGAATAGCTTTATTCTTTATGCAGGCTTGAAGAACAATGGGGGAAATATGTGAATAATCTGTAAAGATCAAAAAGTACACAATAAAAAGGAACACAGTTTTTTTATTAAATCAGGTTTTTATTTTCTTATACAAGGTGTTATGGAAAGTCCAATCTTTCAGAAAGACAGAAACAAAGATAATCACAATGACATACCAATGGAAAATTTATAATCCTCATAATTTGACCTAGGCTCTAAATTCATGTAAAATTTGCCTTGCTTTTGTTTAAAGGATGGCTCCAAACAGAGATTATGAAGCAATGGATACTTGTAAAAGCTAGTTCCCACTGTTGCATTGATTCCAGTCTTGGCTTTATATATCTTTATATATAAAGCCCAGAGTTTAGTGAATTTCATGCCATAACCTCTGCTTTCCACTAAAAATGCTTTCTAGAACAGCCCATAATGTCCTATGGCCTAAATTAAACCCAGGATTTGTTAAAACAAACTGCATAGAATACCCTGTTAGTAATGAATATTTGGAGGAGTCACTGCTCCCCATCTTCACTCCAATTTCCACAACCTTGCTCTAGAAATCTTCATAAAATAATGTCTTGATGTGGTCTATAGAGCAGGGACTTTATATTTTCTATCCGGGTCCACTGAAGTCTGGTCTTAAAATCCAGAGCAGATTCTGGGCAAGCAGAGGAGAGTGCCTGTTGTGTTCTAAGATTAATTGTTCTCACTGAATTGGGAATGTGATAACTGCTAGCCAAACAATAAGATTCTGATATTTACTGTTATATATTTTGCTTGCCAAATAGTCTAACAAAGTTCTATAGCTTCAGCTTTCAGATCTAAGAGGATAAAATGTCAGGTACAAGAATCAATTATCATACTACAAACTCTATAATTATAAACTCTGAAAAACAGAGCTTGGAAAGTAGATATTTTAAAAGTCAATAGAATTG